TTTGGTTATAATTTATTGAAATCTAACATATGACAGTTTGTTTCTATATAAAAGATCATTTGAAAATCCAAAGAGAGCAAACATATCATCTTTAGGGATGCTATGTGATCAGGCGATAGTATTGGCAATAGAACCATATGACAAAAGACTCAACTGGAGCAAAGGTGATGATAGTACCAAAATTGGGTGCTGTCCAAAAAAACAAAAGTTCCCTTGTACCGCCCAAAGCATTCAAAAGTAAAAGAGGATGTGTTTTAAGCATAATATAAGATAAAAGAGGATAATATCTTTACTAAAACATTTGAAATTTGCAAGTAACTTTTATAAAGCACCATTTTCTCAAATATGCCAAATACCACTAAAAGGAAAAAGGTTCCCTGCAGGACCTAGAAAATTATTCTCAGATTCTACAACTGCAATACCTGCAGAACAAAAGCCGAAGATGACAATGAGAGAGCAGCACCAATCACAATAGCCTCATCAATGCTTCTGATGTTGACCTGCAATTTACTTGAACTAAATGCTAAGAAGGAAGTTAATCAAATGCTAATAAAGAACTTAAAAAAATAATAAAAGAAAATTCCAGACAAGCACCAGTTTGAGGGGGAGTAATGCTGCAAATACAAGTCCATCCAAGACGTAATTCAGTCTATTTCTTCATCAAATTTTAAATATTCATTTATGTCAGTGTTCAATTATATCACTTGTTTTCTAGGGGCAATTTATTTCTATCTTATTGTAAACTGTGTAAGATGGTAATTGAGAAATAGAAGCAGGGAAAAAATTCTGTACAAGTTTTTGAGTACTTTAACTTTTAGAGACTGTTAGGTTCTCCTTAATGACCCAAATCATTATGATAAACATAGGAGCAAGATAGGATATTACGAATTTAATAAACACAATTTCTGCAAATCCTTTTTCTAATGTCTCAATCTCTAAACCGAGCCAGATGCAAGGCCAATAATGTCTTACCAGTTTCACAATTCCATAATTTTAAAAAGAACAAAAAAAGCAACGAAAAGAGAATATATGGGCTATTAGAAAGCCAAATATCACACAAGGAAATACAAAGCATGCATCACTCATCTGTTGTCTCTTGTCTGCCATTTTTTACCAACTGTTGTCAATAAAAGAAGATGGCATGGAACAGTGAAAATTTGTTTCAGGGGCAAGCATGCAGACTATAACAGCTACGATTTCTGTGGTTAGAATTAGTTTCAGTAATCTCAAGCTAAGAACTCATTTAGAAATCAAGTTCACTTGGATCTAATCCAAAGATAAGTCCGGCAAATGATAGTGTCAAAGGAGTGAATTGATTGTATGATCAATATAGAGTACCTGAATATAGGGTCCTTACCAAATCTGGCCTTGAATGAAAAGGACTCC